GACCTGCTCGGTTTACACCAAATATATACACGCGGGCGCGCGCGCGCGCGCGATTGAATTTCTCTTTCTCTCTCCCCCTTCCCCTCCAACTCCATACTTACCTCTTCTTTCTCTCTATCTCGTAGTCACCCTTGCGCGCAGGCGTCGTCCTGATCGAGTCGGAGGAGGACGGCGGAAACACGACCAATACGTCGAGGCAAATTTTCTCTTGGATGCTCTTGCCTCTCCAACCCAATGTATTTTTAAGGCTCAAATTATGGATTGTCATGGGTATATTTACGTTAGACATAACTTATAGAATACTTTATAATGGCGATTTTCCTCTCATTGAATCATTACTGACAACGCTTATGCAGTCCAAGACTTGACATACTCATGCTAACAATTTTATTATTACTATCTATTATTACGAACAGCTTTATACAGAGTCTGTTATATGATTAATATTTCTCAGCCAATATGAACAAATTTTTGTAACCTTCTATGCAATGTTACCATAACATAATTATTTAAAAAAAAAAAAAAAAAAAAGACCATTCATACTTCTACAGCAGAACAATTATGTTTTTACACCTTGACATTGTGCAGTAGTTGTAATTGTAATACCAGAAGGATAAACACGAAGCTTGAATGTATAAATTATTAGTATTTTATATTCTAAACATAAAGAACCAATATCGAATTGTTAATAATTAATTTACCATTTTTTAATTAATTTGTATTTATTTGTTGAAATTAATATTGATCCAACAGAATTGATTGTATACTCATTAGCACGAATTGTTATTATATATGAAATAACTGTGAGATTCTTCATCACTTGTTTTTGTTTGAAAATGAGAGTATAAATTTAACACTTATTTAACACAAATTAAGAAATTTTCGTGCATTTTTTCAAAATCCCTTCCTAGGATGCACGTCTTTATATATTAAAATAGCATTACAGATACTGTATATCGACAATTACTTTATAAGAATATTGACATATGATGCAGAAAAAGTCTAACATTTTAAAAATTTATTCGCATATTAATGATTATCTACAGAAAAGTTTTTAAATTATTTTTGTCTATTTAAAATAACAATGTAGGAAGTAATTTGAATAATTGAATATTTTCAGTTTTAACATATCACATATTATAAATTTCAATTAAATTGACGAATTACAATTCCTAAAATAATGATATTAATTAATTATTTTTGAACTTTGTTACTTACAAGTAATAGGAAATCATGTTCGCAGGCGAATAAAATATTTTTGAGAAACCTTCATGCAGTGAAATTTTATATAAAATAAAAGAAACAAGTAATTTTCGTTCAGTGAAAGTAAATTACTATAATTATTATAAAAAATATTTTTTTATTTTTAATACATTCTAATGTTATTTAAAAGAACGTCAATTTATTAAAAGAATTGTTGACAAATTTTTGAAAAATTTTTAATTGCAAACATTATCAATATAATTATCATACGAGCAGTTATTTAATTATTATTGATCTTGTATATAATGAAATTATAAATCAATGAATTAATTATATCATATAATAATTTATATTTGTATAGTATGAATATTAAATATATTTGTATTTTTATAAATTAAAAAATGTATATGAATATATCGGTAATAAAATTGTTTTCAATTTAAATTTAAATTTAAATATAAAATATGTACTAAGATGTATTAAGATTAGTTGATTTCGTCTAAATGAATAATTAACTAAAATTGATTCATATTCAAGACAGTGATGTCGTATACATAATATAAAAATGAATCTGTAATATTTATATTCGCAATAAAATGACAATGTACAGTTACAATTGTTTGTGCATTGTAGAAAGTACATTTTCATTATAAATGTTAATTCTATGATTCTAAAATTTGCACTCGATTATAAAAAAAAAAGCTGAAGGTAGTTAAATCTTATTTATAATGATTCGTTTTTAGTGATATTTTAAGCATTAATTAAAATTAACAATTACAATAACAAAAACAATAATTTTATTTTTTGTACTTAAATGGATTATATAAATTGTCGATGATAATAGGAAATTTATATGGAACATCGTAGTACATTATTCACTAATTTTTTTCTGATTTGTAAATTAAGTTTGTAAAAGGCAAACCTAACAATGAATAGCATGAAATGAGTAAAATTTATTTTATAATTATAATCTATTATTTAATATCATTCAGTATAAATGATCGAGCAATTAATTATATTGATTTAAATTTATGTAATAATGTAACATTTTCTATATGTAAATACTTTTTAACCTATTTTTTGTTGTAATGTAAATCCTACTATACTGGGATAATAATTTGATAGATACAATTAACTAAATAATAATACGTATAAATCGATTTAAATAATTATCAACTATGATTTTAATAAAACTAACCTATTTCTTTTGTGATTTAGACATAAACCTAAAGTGCTTATTAGTATAATAAAATATTGCTGAAAAAAAAAAGAATTATTGCTCATTTAACGAAATAAGAATAAGCATAAAATATGTCTGATTTAATTACAGTTATAATTTTTTTACGTAAAATATTTAGTATTATTGATATGATATTTATTTATTTTTATTTAATTCAATTATTAATAATTCAACTATTAAATAAAATTCAATAGTTTTCAATTCGTAGTTTTCGTGCTATTTAATTATTCAAAAATAACATTGAAAGTTTAAGTATATTATGGAATTATAGTATAATTTACTGCTTACATTTTCATTGTTACTAGTCATAAATTGTTTTCTGTAAATCTACAACTTTACAGTAATAATACTTAATTAAGTATATAATTTTACAGATGTCTGTATAAGAAAAATGAATCCATTCAATGGGATATTTATATTATTGATTTTTATAATGGAAATTATTTATCAAATACGAATATGATAAGTGATCAATCTAAATTGATGTTTACACTTATTGATTAAGTGATACCCCATAATTAATTATACAATCTTAAATGTAATACTATGTTACGTTTTCATAAATTATTATTAATTATTATATTGAAAATGCTTTTAATTTATTCAATTTTTAAGAAAATTAAAAAACTAAAATACCGTATCATAAAAGGTTATTATTTTTAGTCTGTTAAAAAAAAAAAAAAAAAAAAAAAAAGGGAGGATATATGTAATCAATTTTTTAATTTTCCAAGCAACGTCCAAGCAATCAATAAATAAATTAAATCAATAAATACATTAAAACTATTTGTATTAATATATTTTTATAAAATTATTAATAAAATTGTACTAAAATAATTAATGACTTATAAGCTCTGTAAGCACTAACACGCAGCATTTAAACAACTTCAAATTAAAAGCTGATAAAAAATTAATTTTAATGATTTGTATTCCAATGTATTTATGCTCGTCTAAGAAAGCACTAGATTAAACATCTTGCCGATATCTAAATGAAAGTGAAAAGTTGGTTCGATTATATCTAAAGGGATTGAGTCATCTTTCGAGTAGTCATAGAAACGTTAGCAACGTCACTGTGGATTTGACTTTACACTTAGAGCGATCGTCTTCGTTTCCGGGCTCATCTATCATTGACATTTTATATCTACCTTTTAGCCATGTAGTCCGAACTTTGTAGAGCATCATAATTAAAAAAGATTTTCCAAGTTGTGTTTCAAGGAAGCAACATGGATAAGAACATGCAAAGGGTTGGAGTGGGTGTAGGAGCTTTTCATAATCCGCCAAAGGCGAGTTATAGCGAAGAAACGAAAAATTTGATCAAAGGTAAATAATGAACGAACGATGATTTATTTATTTGGTGCTAAATATTTTAATATTATTTTTTTTTTCAACGAGCAAAATCATGAATCTCAAAACCTCTAAAATTTCTTTCTGTGTTAATGTATATTTTTACTTTTAATGTGAAATTTACTATAAATGTTTAAAACAATAACAATAAAATTGCAATTGATGTATTCAAAATTTGAATAAGATTATATTTATAATTTATTTATTACATTATTTAGGAATTAAATATTATCGCTGTTAATCGTTTTTTTTTAAATGTTCACTATTCACTTAATATGCAGAAATAGAGGATAAAGTAAATCGTCAATATCAATATACAATTTTTTTTTAAATTTATTTTTAAAATATATTAGTGAAAAATAATATATTTGAATAAGAAAAGATGTATTTTTTGTTTAAAGTATTAATGGAGGAATCAAAATTAACAATGATGCAACGAAAAACTATACAAGATGCGATGAACAGAGGCGATTCTTTACCTCCTCCAACACCTATTCCGAAAAAAGAAAAACAATCAAATAATATTCAAGTATCAAAATTATTTATCTTTGATTAAGAATCATTATAGTTGTTCCAATCTTTATTTTTGACTTTTCTTTAAAGAATTAGGAAAATATATATATATATATATATATATATATATATATATATATATATAATTGCGAAAAATAGTTTCTAATATGTTAATTTTTGCCAAATTCAGGTTACATATCCTTCAGTGTGGAAACGAAGATCAAGGGACATGATCCTTAATAGCGGTGCTTACGAAAGGGAACAATTTAGACGTACAGAGCCACTACGTAAGGAAAACTTAGTAACGCTATGATTTATCATAAATTATTTATAACATTTCGGTTTATTTTTATATGTTCTATTCAGATTGAAAAAAATGATTATTCCAGTTTGATTCTTTAATCATTCTTATTTAATTAAAGTGATCGGTTAAAACAAAAAACTATATACATATACATTATTATTTTTATATCATTATTTTTATATCATTATTTTTATATTCTCTCTATTTTTAACTTTAATTAAACTGATTACAAAGTTTTATTCAACTTTAAAATGCTGCGATTGCAATGTATCGGTTGATCAGAAGAGTTGAGGCAACGCATTATATGTTGGATTTACTTACAAAATTATGTTTTGCAAAGTATCAGTTGTTTACTATAAATGTAGATTACATTTATAATTAAACATAGTTGAGAATAAAATAAATTGTTGTAATTTAAATTTCAACTATTCAATAATTTCAGCAACAAATTCTATATTTATAATGAAACGAGAGTAAATTATAAAATACGTGAACGTAAAATAATATAGTTTATGGAGATAAAATTAAAGGATTAATAATAATTAATATACATGAATATATTTTTCATCATAAAATTTTATGCTTATTTAATTATCTAAAAATATGATATTTATAATTATTCAATATTGCAAAATAATTAAAATATAAAAAGAATTTAAATCGTTTCATGTGGAATAAGATGTAATGCAATAATATGAAATAATAAATAATGATTATTAAATTCTTTGTCTATAATTTGATTAAATTTAATGCGTATAAATTCTACTTTCGAATTATTGATTTGATTATAGCTAATAAGGAAAAGCAAAAGAGGCACTTAGCATGTATGATGGCATATGGAAAAGATATGCCAGCAACTCCTCGCGAACAAGGAATTATGCCGAAACCTCGGAGATTACCACAACTTAATAATAAAGATGATCCTGTGAAAGACAGTAAGTTTCTATGTTCGTGAATATTCATTTTTATTAAGGCACGAATATTCCAGTAATTTTAAGATAAAAATCTCACATATTACTGATACTCTAAAATATATAACGAAAAAGTTTTTTTTTTTTTTTTTTTTTTTTTTTTAAAATTAACGTAAATATTTGTAACTATATTATATTACTTTTATGATTTCACTAAGAATATTTCTTTACAAATAAAATAGAATAATTGTAAATTATTGAGCGATAAAAAATTATTTTTTATAAGTTATGGCATCTATAAATAAATAAATATATTGGATTATCTAATTTCCTAACAAAAATTCGGATTAAAAATTCATTTATCATCTAATACAAAAATGTGTTTATAAAAATAATGAAAAATACGAATAGTTCTCCTATATAAACGTTTCATTATTTTAATTATTTTACAAATTGATAAATGTATAAATAAAATTAGGCATAAATTTTCTGCTTTTTAGTCGTTCAAGGTATTCAAGAAAGAATCGAGTTTTTACAAGACATGGAGTGTTTGGGCCTCGGAAAAAAGTATAAATCTATAATGCATCAGGAAATTGCTCAGAAAATACGAGAACTTGAGACTATGGAGAAAAGCAAGTCCTTGGAAATTAGTAAGGAACTTGAAAAATTCAAATATGAGCATCCGCCTCCAAAACCGTTTCCGCTTGGGGAACTCGATGTGTGATTTGAGAATTATTTGTAAAATCATTCAAAACTTTGTAACAATCCGTCATCTTATAACTATAAAAGTATAAATACATTATTATTTATTCAGCTTTATATATCGCTTTTAGTTGCATGTATTTTAAAAATTATACATAAAAGAATATATATATTATTGGGCACGTAAAATAGCAGCGCAATAGAGTTTCTTATTATTAGCATATATATTGCAATTAAGGAGAACATGCTGCATTTGCACGAAAGAAATAGATTTTAAGTTTCGATTTTAAGGTTTTAAATAATTATGAGTCTCAGTCGAACATTTTCAATTATATTTTTGAAAAAAATAAATACCCAATTCTGATTTAAATTTGACACAAATAGAATTGTAGTATTAGTAGTATGCAGTGATAAGTATTTCAGAGTATAAAATTTAGTTGTTAACTTCTAATACAAAAAATGCACACAGTAGATATAATAAACGTATTTTTATATGTTCATTATTCATAAAATTAGATTAATTTATTTTTAATAAAAGAGCGAGATTATCAAACGTTTATTATTAATAAACATGTATCGATCATATAGTAAGAAAAATATATGAAAATATAGAAAAACATATATATATATATATATATATATATATATATATATATATATATATATATAATTTATATAAATATATGAAAACATACACAAGTCTCTTATAAACTTATTCAAGTATATTTCCGATATTAACAAAATATGGTTACTTGAATATAAATAAATAAATATTAGAATTTATATATAACATTGAATATTTTACATAAGTACTATAATAACAAAATAATTGTAAACTCGATTCAAAGTAATATAATTTCTCAGAATATATATATATATATATATATATATATATATATATGCATAAAAAAATACATAGAGTTAAGGAAATATAAAAAAATTTTTTTTTTGAAAATATCGTTACTCAATTATTAATTATTATTTTCAAAGGTTAATTTTTTCCTAGATATATGAAATTTCATTTTCAGAGTAATTTTAATTTTAAACAAATTAAAAAATATTTTTATATCTATAAACTTATATTTTTATAGATTTTCATTAATTATAAAACAATATATTATTTATATTATATTTAAATTATATAATAAAAAACGTAATAATAATAAAAGCTGAATTATTGAATCAATTTGTTAAATTATATGTAATACCTATCAATTTTTAAAACAACGAACATAATCAGTCATTTTTATATATTTTATGCATTATTTCTCAATTATTTCTATAGACTTACTGTCGCCTAATAAATTTTCATTAATAAAAAAATTGCACGAAAATTTAATAAAATTAAACAATAAAATCTTAATTTAAGTAATTCCCCTCCCCCCTTACCAATAAGGTGTTTAAAGTCTCTTAAAATTATCAGAAGGAAATAATTTTTGAAAACAAAATGTTGTGATTACAGAAAATAATAATAATAAATTTTATAATGTTAAATTTATAATTTATTTAACTGAAAGAATGTTATTAACTAAAGAATGTTATTATTTTATTGGCTAATTAATATATTGGATATATATTACAATTTATTATAATGTTAATCTGATAAAATTGTCTGATATATTTTATCTATCAATAAGTCTTTAATAAATAAAAATTATTCCAACAATTGTAGTGATATTTTATTGGTAAAAGCAATTATAATAAGAATACAAATAGAACAAATAATAGAGGTTATACCAATCATAGACAATTGCATAATGGATACTTTAAAATTGAATTGCTACTTTAGAATGTATTATTATTATAATTATTTTAATAAATAAATGTATAAAAAAAATTTAATCCAATATTTTTATTGTGCATTTATGTTTACATGCTTCATTTATTTAAAAGAATTTACTTTATATTTCTATATATTATATTGCATTTAAAAGTAATAGTAAATTATGGCATAGAATATGATATTGCAATTATTAGAAAATTTGATATATTTAAAATTTTATAAAATATTTTAATTGTATTATATACGATATAATATATATTTTTACGATGAAATTATTTGTAAAAACAAAAAATAATAAACCTAAAATTATCGGAATGATATACAATCCGATATAATCGTTTTAAAGTTTTATCGATAAATGGTTTTAGCTGAAATTTTGAATTTGTCGTATGAAAATAACCATAGTTAAGGCTGAGGAATCATTTGTTTCTTTTGTAAATAAATGTGGTTTTGACATTCCTGGTACTAAATTATTTCGTAAACAATAATAAGAAACAAGGACATTAAAGTTTGTGAGGTTCAGATTTCGAATCCATGTTCTCAATCAGGACCAGAATATGCTTAGAAAGTTCCACAATTAAAAATCTAATAAAAATGTTGAGTCTGGCATTTCGAACTACTCGATCATTATGACATATTGTATATAAAATACAATAAGCAATAGTGTAATAATAATTTTCTAATAAATATAAAATTTCATATTAGAATTTATTTACAAAACTATTGACTATCCAAGAATGAATGGTTTCAATTAATTCTATAAAATACGTACATTTGTTTTCTCTCTACTTACTCTCTCTCTCTCTCTCTCTCTCTCTCTCTCTCTCTCATTATCTTAATATAAATATGATTCAAGCATAATTTGAATTATTCTCAAATATAATACAAGTAATTGATATTTATAGTGTAGTATAACTTTTAACAATTTGAAGTCTTATTCTGTGTTTAATCTTATATATTTGAATTTAAAATAAATATTTATTAAAAAAATTGGCGTCCATCTATTTCTGAAATAAGATATTTCTTAGAAATAAATTCAAACTACATGTGCATTCAGTGCATAATATATGAGCGTATCCATGCGTGAGTATAGGCATGTACTAACGCTAGTATATACATGTTTTTGTTCATAGGCGGTTCATACGCATACACACGCATACAGTCTATTTTTAACCGCGTAGTTGTCCCGTTATGGACGGTACAGTTTTACTAGGTAGTTTTTGAAAGTTTTAATAATTAGTATTAGGCTCACTATTATGACAAAATAATCTATAAAGTTTAAATTATCAAGGAATTATCAGTTGAAGTACTTTTTTAATTCACAGCCTTTGAATACAATTACTCGACAGTTTTATTTGCATAAAGTACTGTTACATTTCTTTTTGAAGAATAAGCTGCATTCGTTAATTATTATTAAAAGTATTTTAACTCTGAATGAAAAATTTTACATGTGTATGATTGATTACACATAGAATTGTTTATATTTACTTTTATGAATAACTGTTTAATATATTGTTTCATATTTTTGTCATTTTGCCTTTTAAGTTTTATGTTTTCATAATATTTTTTCGGCCTTCATTTGGCCAATACTTTGTAATAAATTATTCTTGGTTACAAATAGCTTATCAAAAGATTTTTAAATGTGAAAATAATAAAAAAAGAATTTTCATTACAACGACTTTCGAATAGTTTTCTCGTATTTAATGGATTATATATTACATATAACGGAATAAATTTTTTTTGTCTACATTATAGATTTTTCGTATTTGTAAATTAATCGATTAAATATATCATGTAATTATGTTACATGATATCTTATATTGTAAATCGAAAATTAATATTCTTGTTTGGATGATATAAATAAAATATTTAAAAATATATTAGAAGATCTCCTTTATTCAATCATAAACGAAATACATGTTTAAGAGAGTAAAGATTTTCTCTCTTAGTACGTATAATATAACACCGAATTGTAGTTCTGAATGAAAAAAACAAACAAAAAAATTAATAAAAAAGGCCAATAATAATGAGTATGAATAACACGTATTTCAAAATTTTCTCTCAAATATTTAGTAAAAGAATATATTAGCAAAATATGTAGAACAATAGAATCTTTAGTTATTTTTAGATACTTTTCTTATTTTCTACAAAGTTAAATATTTACATGGATTATCAGCTCCCTACGTTGAATACAGAAGTTTAGAACTTTATGACAAGTATAGCTTCTTGACACGAGAAACTCATTAGTTTTATGAAAAGACAATGTACTCATAATAATATTAAAAGAAGACAATCAACATCTTGATAATGGATTATTATATCGAAGCCTGCGTAAATATAATGGCAAATACATATAATCGAATTTTGATAATAAATGGCAGACTACTGCGTTCTGGGTAAATTAATAAAATATATTATATTCTATAAGAAAAGATTTTGATATAAAGATTTTGATTTTAATTATTTATCCTGATAACATCGATTCAGTTATATGGCTGCAGAGTGATATATGGCTACTCATTCATAAAATCTATACGGGCAAAATACGCTTTGGATCCCTTTTTGAGTCTTTAAAACATTTAAAGTTTCAAAAAGAAATTGAAAAAAAAAGAGGAAAAAAAAAATGTGCGTCAAAATGTGTGGACAAAGAGAGCGTAAAGAAGTACAACCGTACATTCGCCTCATCATCTCCTCGCACGCCAAAGTCTCGCGCGAGAGAAAAATCTTAGGCGCGCCGTGAGACACACCAGGTCGTTAAAATCGACGGGCATAATTATCAGGAGAATCGAGCTTGGCCGGGGGCATAACCGCACGAGCAGCAGCCAGGCGGGGGTCGGAGGATGCCACGGAGCTCGGCGATTGCACAACAAAAACCAAGGCATCTCTCTAGCTTCCGTGACAAGAACATTCGAAAGTGCAGCTCCCGGGTACGCGTAGTCGCCGTCAGAGCCCGCTGTCGGCCGCGGGATCGAGTCGTCCGAAAGTGGCCGGCGGTGGCCCGTTCGTTCGTATTCCACAGGGAAGCAGCGGTGCTAGTGGGAGAGCCGCGGAGAGAGGAAAAGGAGAAAAGACGTAGGCGGTTTGTGTCGGGGGCCAGTGGCGAGCAGTGACCGAGTGGTGGGCACCGGGAGGGGCGCGGGGGAGTGGGCCGAGAAGCCAGTGGCCGATCGGCGGTGGTGGCAGTGGTGGCTGTGGTGGCTGTGGTGGCTGTGGCGGCTGTGGCGGCTGTGACGGCGGTGACGGCGGCGGCGACGGCAGCGGCGACGGCAGCGGCTGTGGCGGCGGCAACGACGGTGGTTTTGACGACGGCGAGAGGCCCGCGATTTCTAAGCGAACCGACGACGGCTCCGTCCCCAGCCAGGCTCGTCCTTAGGTCAGTCGTTCGCAGCGCGGCGACGGCGTTGCCTCGCTTCCGGAGCCGAGTATCGCATTCTTCGCGAGCCACGTGCTCCGAGACTCGCGGATCGAACCTCCCGCCAAGACTCGCGGGTGCCTCGAGTACGCGGCCCCCATGTGCGGCCCGACAGTCCCCCGCGAACGCCGAAGGACGGCTTGAGCGCGCGGCCCCGCCAGCTGAGGTTACGAGCCCGAGAGGATAACCGATGATCTGCCAGTGATCCAATATGGCGTCGACCGACCTGTCGTTCGGTAAATATCGTTCACGCAATACGAGTCCGCCCGACACCTGTGCTCACCTCCGCCTCCATTTTCTTCGAGGCCATCGCGCTAGTCCCAATGCTTAAGTCGAGCTCTTTTTCTCCTCTACTTCTATCCCTGCCGATTTATGTCTGACCACGGCCCTCCTTCCAAGGGTTATTGACACACAGACTCGAGCCGCCGAAATCTCCTTTCCTCAATATTACCTCGCGGCACTCTAAATGTAGCGATCGAGGAGTTTTACATTGCGCGCCTTCTTCCTTACGCTGCCATCCCCTCCCTGCCCATCTACATCTTCCATCTCCAACCCCCCGACGCCCTCGCATATTTGCTTTATTTATTGGAACGGAGGAATCTTCATATTCCTTATGAAGCCCTTATGCTCCGAAGTTTGAGCCTCCTCTCGATCTTTAACCGGGCAGAGGCAACATATTTCCCGGTGGGCACTCGTGTTGCTCTCCTGATTTCAGCTTGACCTTACAACGTTAATTTTCGATTCTAAGTAAAAACCTGTTTTCTTTCGTTCTTACTGACTGTGTAATAGCGATGATAAGGCATCGATAAACATTTCACGCACACGGCAAGCGCTCACTCACACACTTTCAATCTGCATCTCATAATGTTGCAATTTTCACACAAATATTGACGACTCGCTCTTACTTGTTCCAAATTCACGTGCTACGTTATTCCAAAATCCATTATCCATTCAACTCGCGATACTCTATGTTAATTTTAACATATTTAATAATTTTAACAAACATTAACAATGTACGCTACTTTTTCTGTAATTTATAAAGACTTTGAACGATGTTTCTGACAGAAGCGTTATTGTACGTTTAATTCTAGTTACTTTCACTTAACGCGGTAAATATATTTCAACTATTTCCTTTCAATGTTGAAATGGCCATTTGAAAGCATTGACATTTTTAATATCATTTTTTATCATTTCTTTTTTAAATATCTTTTAAAAGACTTTAAGAGAACTCTGCTGCATAGAATAATAATTTAAATCGAAGGGTAATTTTTTTTTACAATAGTTATATGTCTATTATTATTTATTACGTTATAATGATTATAACTAATTGATGTATTCGATCATAAGACAGTTTATTTAAAAAAAAAAAAAAAAAAAAAATACTTTTTACAGAATATTTTAAGATAATAATAATAGACACTATTCACATTTATTTAATTCTTCATTTATTCGTAACAATAGTAACGTTTTTACCATTGTTGTTATGACAATTATGATAATAATTATAACAAACGGTACTGCATGAGAAACTTAAATGCCTTAATATGTTATTAGATCATCTATTTTTGTTCTATTGTTATCAATTACTAAATGTCGAATAATAATCATTATGAGTGCATGAATATTAAAATTTTCATTTGTTTACTTGGAATCGCCTTTTTATGAATATTCCGTCGATCGTTTTACTATCTATGCAGAACTGTAGAAATACTTTCAAAACTTTTATCAACAAATAGACATCCCAGTTGAAATATAAGTTATTTTTTTCCGACATTTTATTAAAGCGAAAGAGACATTTTATTTTAGAAGAGAAAGAGAATATCTTTCACATTTCATCGAATTGATTAATCTTATATTAATTAAGATGTAATATTGAATCGATTCCTACTGTCGTATAATTATTTCTAACATATTGTTCCTTAAAATTTTAAATATCCTATGAACCTTTTAATAATATAATAGAAGAGATGATATTTTCTGAAACCATACGACAAAATTAAAGCGTCGAATTGGAGAGAATCCATACTAGGTATTGGTTTTTATAAAATCTCGTAATTAAGTTAATAAACTTGTTAAATTGAGACCACTATAATGAGTAAAATTATACCGTAAGTGAAGCGATATTATTGATTATATAGAAAGTTTATGGAAAAAATTTTAATGCTGGTGTAAACATTTGAAAACGAATAAACTGTTATTATTATAAAAATCTTTTTAATTTATTAATCATTTAATTAATAGTGAATAAAATTTGCAACACACTTTTCATCGTCTATAGAGAATATCATGAAAAGTACATTTATTCTTTATTTAATTATACTTTCTCAATTCTTTTTGCCTGCATAAGAGATAATAGGCCAAAATAAATTTTGGACAAGAGTTGTTAGATAATAAAATCGTTCTCCATGTTAAAAATAATATATATTTAAAAATTATGTATAATTAAAAATAATTTTTTTGCTAAGTGTATAATTGTTAAAACGTAAATGATATTTTCATTTTCTTTACTGTGTTTAAATTAATAAATGTTCATTTTTTCATGCGTTCAATTTAAGCTGAGCTTTAAAAAAAAATATACGTCAACAGAATTAGTGCATGACAATGGATTTTATTACATTTGTAGATGTTAGCCTATTAATTATGTTTATTGTTAAGTCATAAAGATGGTTGTTACGTCGAACGATTATGGCCCGAACATTTTTGCACGAAAACCACAACTTAATTACATACTTAGCCTTTTGTCGAATGCACATTTGTCCTGTCATCGTACGTTCAACAATTGTTTTTACTATATTATTATAAGACAAAAATACGTCAGTGGCAATTTAGATTAATATAATTATTTGAATAAAAGCTATTAATAAACATAAATAGTAATGTTATAACACTTCGGCTATGAAAGTATTTAGATTATTATCAAATATCATATATATATATATATATATGATAGCCCTTTTTTTTTTTTTAATCCTGATGGATCCTTCGCTGCAAAAGTTCTATTCAATTACGAAAACTAACATTTCTCCGCTCGCTTAGATCGTCGCAAAGAATTCTTTGCTCTTTCAAGCTTTGTTAGCTTCAACATTTCACACATGGGCACTTATACGTAAATATGGAGGTGTTCCGACCCCTCCATTGCTACTGATTTGCCGTCGTCGCTTTACTAGATTACAACAGCGGATATCACTCATCCTCCGTTCTGTACAATTATTTTTCGAGCAGTTTGTACGTTGTAACTGCGAGCGCCGGTACAATGTCGAAAAATTTCTTTAGCTATGTGTTCTGCTTCGTTGCCTAAAGAGTAAGAGTAAGAGTAAGAGAGAGATGGTAGAAGCCCTGCAACGAGAAAAAAAGCAAATTTTTTTTTGTCTTCCGAGGGCTTGGCTGCATTATAAATTTTTAAGAACATCAATGAATTAGCTCTAGTTTTTTTTTTTTTTTTTTTTTTTTTTTTTTTTTTTTTGGTTTTATTTTGAACGCTAACAAAATTAAATTTAACAAAAATAATAATACTCATCAGTTTTTTATATAAGATATTCCGTTGTTTAGTTTATTTTTTTTTTGTTTTTAATGTTTATTCTCATTTTAATTTTGATTATTTAGCAGATATGAAAATTTGAAAATATATCCTACTAAAGTTTCACATTATTGAGTGATAACCTTCTTGTCTGTGTTTCTTTTTCACTCAAAGAATTAAATTTATTTTATTGGTTTGTTTTATGGTTGTATTAAGATTTTTCCCCATGTATAATTTAAAATTAACGATACTACAGATTTATCAAACTACTTTTGATATACAAAAAATACCATGTATAGTTAAATTTAAATTACATTATAAGTTTATTTTTATTTTGCTTCTAGTAATAACACATGATTTTCATTCTTTGCAATGAAAATGAAAGTCACTCCTTACATGCTCATTAAAACTAAAAAATAATAGTATTATTTTTCTAACGACTTTATCTATAAGCAAACTTTAAAGAATATATTTAATAAAAGTTACTACAGAATTAACAAAATAACGATTAAGTCAGAATCACAGAAGAAAATAAAATTATACATTACTATTTTAAATAATTCTCAAACAATGATAATGATAGAGAAAGAAACTACTTTTAAATAAATGTAAAATTAATGATAAAATGTTTATAATGTCAAAATTATTCTCTTCGTCATAACGAAAGTCCTTTTAACTTTCACAATTCTTCAATGTTATATAATAACAATTGCATATAAAAAGTAATATGCCATAATACATTTTATGTAATAATAGAAAATAAAAAGTGCAACCATTAGAAATTATTTAAATGAGCATGTATGGTTGATTAAGTTGGATATGGATAATGTGTATTCATCGTTCGTTGATTTAGGGATAATGAGTAATGTGATTACTTCTTATTAAAATTATTACGTTTAATTTCACTTCAGTAGAAGAGCTGAACCACGTTCAGTTAACCTATAAGAATAAAGAAAGTGAACTGCGCAATATTAGTTGCTGCATTATAGAGTGCATAGTCGATTGCCGAGTGAATCTAGTGAAAGTGCAATGTACTTCGTGTTCCCTAGAGATTCGACATATTATATACAAAGAATATATAAGAAATTGAAACTCGTGTCATTACAATTATCTAACGTTCAATAATCAATAGAACGAACGTTTCAATCAAAGTTTCATCAAAGTTTATATTAAACGAAAACATTTAGGCAAATAATTAATGGCCAATGGTTAAAAATGAAGCGTTTGAGTAATTTATTTTCAATGGAAAATAAAAATAAAGTAATATCAATCGATAAAAACTATTTTATAATTTTATATTTTTATATATTTTTTAAAACTTTTTATGTTTAGTCCAAGAATGTATTAAAAAATATTTAAATAATGATATTTATGTCAAACAATATATTCTGATGATAATTAATTTGCAAAAGTTCTAAAATATAATTAATAATTTGTAAGTACGATGTGCATTTTTGAAAATCTGTAAAATCATCCTACCAAAACCATCTCACCATTAAGCCAACTTTTTCATATTATAGTCAAATATCAGATAAATTAAAAAACTATGTTTATCAATAAAGTAAATCGTTTATAAAATAAATCAATTAAAAATAATAAATCAGATAACTAATTGATTGCGATATTAAAAAAAATACACACATTGGTATTTCTTATAGTATGATTACGTATTGACGATAAACAAGCTCATGGTTTAATGATAAACATAAATTCTATATCGAATTTTTTTTTGTAATGCATAAGAATATAGTATTTTTAAAATATATAATATAAAATATATAATATTAATATAATATTTTATTAATAGTGAAATAAAATTTATGAATAAAAATGTGATGGGATAATGATAACAGCGATATTTCTGAGTGCTCGTGTGTTATCAAAGTAGAGATATTGATGCAATTAGACGAAATATTCATTAAATAGATAGCTATCATGTGATTAAATATTTGTTTATAGGAAAATGTAAGGAGTGGATAAGAAATTTTATCGATATTTTGATAACCAAGAGTAAATAATTAGTATATAGTATATATAGTATATATAGTATATATATATATATATATATATGTATATATATATATATATATATATATATATATATATATACATATATAGCACACTATCGTTAACATTTTTATACCTGTGTGACAAATTATATTAAAAACTCATGTAATCATATCATGTTTAAATATGACATAAAAACAATGTACTATTTTGTTGGAATAATAGTTTGAAGTTTCTAATATTCAATGAAAGCTACAAATAATTTATAATTTTTTATACAATTATATTGTCTAAATATTTATATGTCAACTATTGCGTATATTTAAAGATTTTTTCTATAATATATATTACAACTTCGTATCTATCAACTGCGTTGGATTAGAATAAATATTGCACTATTATATTTTATTTATTTTTATTGTTAAATATATTACATATTTCGCTAATAGAAATAAAAGTTTTATAGTACTAATAATAATTCCCAATTTAAATATAATAATATAAACAGTGTAGTTATTATGTTTTTTCATCATTACACACACGCGTATATATATATATATATATATATATATATATAATTTTTTATTTAAAAAATAAAACTTTTAGTAATTTGAAGTAAAAATATCATTATTTTTTATATTGCAATTGAATTAAAATATTTATAGATAATTATTATACATTAGTATAGGTTATTATAGATTATTTAATATATAATTATATATTTTTTATTTAAATTAATTTGTCTCGTATATTATACTTTTCGAATACGGTGAAGATTAAATACTTTAATTTACATCTACAGAGAACTGTTTTACACATTATTTTCTTAATATTAATTATATTTTGATAAACAAAATTTTAATAATTTTTGATTACTCACTGTACCTTATATTATGTAAGATAATTAAATTATATTGCATAAGTTGTGAATTACTTAATAAGTTATGCCTACGGTATTTGATTTTGTCAAAAACTAATGAAACACTGCTCTATCAATTGTATTTTGAATAAAAGTTTTGTCTTTTTCTCCATGCTAATATTGAAGGTTCAAATTTACCAAGATTTTATCGTTTTTATCATAGTAGTCTATGCGATTATGAACTTATAAAAGGAGACTTCGATATTAGAGACAATTAGGAGACAGAGGCATTTATAAATTATCGTTAATCTTTAAATAAGAATTTATGTTTTGGTAATGAATAATCAATCAATATACGATACATTTTGAAGTCTTGTATTGATGTTTGCAGGCTCCATACCAGCATTTTACAGAGATGTCTACGAAAGAATTTGTTCGTCTAGCAGCGGCAATGTGGAAAGGGAGGTGTTCAAGCTACTTCTTGTCAGGTCTCAGCTGAGCAGTTCTGTCCTTAGTCAGGTACGTATATACAATGCACACTTGTGCATTCGTTCGTTAAATTGTCATTGAAGCATCACGACTGCTGGTTAAAATATATAACTTGCTAAGTTAGTAGGAACAATGAGCATAACTAACGATCTCAGTTAGTCGCTTGAAGTTTGCTTGCCGTTATGATAGCTTCCAATTTAGATTTTGATTTGACTGACTTGCTACCGCCACTCTATACTTTTAAAATTATTGTATGTACTTCTATCTCAGTCCCACTAAGGTGCAATACACTTAAAACAAAATCTATTGTAATAATAATCTCAGTTGTGATTAACAATTCGATAATTTACTTTAGATTTATTGAAAAGTATAAAAGAGTTTTGTTATAGAAGTGCTTATTGCAATTAATTTTATACGTTGGTATAAATAAATATAAGTATATTATATTACTAAAATAAATTAATGTCCTAAATAGATATTGCGTGTTCGTATTAAGGAGAGATATTATTAATTGTAACGTGTTTCACATTATATTGCATATGCAATAAAATTTTTTTCATTTTCTAACTCGATTTTACCGAAAAAAAAAAAAAATTTATTTTAAAATAAAATGCCTATTTATTATTTATTGATTATATCATTCCTATATATATATATCATAATGTAATATAACACGCACACACGCACATATCCCACATTATACATTACACAATAACACATGAACAATATTATAAAATATTAATTGTAAAAATGAAAATATGCTTGAAACGTAATTCAGATGAAATATATATTAATTATTTAATATGAATTGTTTTTTGAACATAATTACTTTAGTTTATTCTTTCATACATTATGTTAATTTTAGCCTTATCTAAAAAGGATATAAATGTTGTTTTATATTTTTGATGATAAACATTGTAGATTCTTCTTTTGTTTTTTGTTTTTTTTTTTTTTTATAAATTATCAATGTTTTAAAGTAATCAATGATAAAAATTATTTTACGCGTTACACGTTATGTAAATATAATTAGTAAATTTAAGTATTTCAATAATATAAATCTATTAGTTCAATGTTTTTACAAAATTTTCTGATCTCAGGAAATCATTTTCACTTAGACACAAATTATTGCCACTTCTTTTTGTTAAATATCTAAATAAATTATACTATAAAAATTAATTTATTCTAAACAACCAACAGTATTTCTATTGATATAACAATAAAATTTCTTTCAAGAGTTTTGCTGTAAGATAAGAATTTTCATACGTGAGAAAAAGTGAGAAAAATTTGTATAGTTTTTTTTTTTTTTTTAAGATTTAACAATTTTCTGATTTTCTGAAAGCTAGCAGAGATATGTTCTATTCTTGATATATATAACTTGCTTCCTTTCACTTTTGCATCCATTAGCCTCTATTCTTTGACGCATACAATGATATGAAAGTTATTTTATATAGTTTACTGCTGCAGCAAATAGTACATTTTGAACTTGCAAATGTTTAAATTAAAAATAGTCTTGTTTCGTTACTTCCTTGTTACGGTGGGTATATGATTCAAATGATAGTTATATTGACCATTAACTATATTCATTAATGCAAAAATTTCTTTAAGAAATCAATTTAGTAATGAATTTCATTACATATTATATGTGCTCTACGAACGTTAAAAAGAAATAGAAATTTCGTTTAATAGATATTTAATATATATTTCGTTAACATCAATAATTAAAATTTTATTTGAATTAATTGCATAAATCTTAATAGTTTATAAATTTATTTGTAGTTGCCAATATATATTGTTTATATAATCCAGAAAATATAACTTTAACATTAATTAAAATACTTTCCTTCAAAAGCATCGATACTTTATAGTTGCAAAGTATAGTAAAATGGAGTTAAATATTTACTCGTTTCTTTCTATCGTAGTCATATGTATTAATAACATATACATTCATACTTAATCTTTGTAAGTACTTGTATTATCTATCATACAGCGAACAGTGGAGATAGAGTTTGTAACGCCTCTAAATATGTTCGTTTATAATACGTAGTATATGAAATTTCATTTTATGTGTATATTGAAAGAAAAATTATTATCAATGTATTTGGTTTTTCTAATTTAAGAAAAACATCATAAATTAAAGTGAATGTAAAAATTAGAGTATTGCTAGTATTGTGCAAAGTGGATTAATTTCTTTGTAAAAGAAAGATAATTGCGGCTTATAAATTTAGGTTTATAAATACATATTATTAACAAAGATAAAAATATTATGTTTATGTATATGGAATTGTTTTATTAAATAAATGTGCTATAAGTCGACCTGAACATAAACATCTATATTGAAATGAACTAATCACTTATATAAATACCGATTGATTTATAAACAGGAACGTTTGAAAATAAGCTGAATTTCTTATTTTGAATTTGTCAAAGACCATAGTCGTGCATGTAGTTGAATTTTCGTAAATGTAATAAGACAGTAATTGAGAGACATACCATTGAAAAACGATTAGTCCACGTTCAATACATATGTATGCAGTGATGATATGATAAATATCGCATTATATTTGTATTGTATATGTGATGTATAATATATTTAAGTATGTTGACATTGGATGTGATGTGAAATATTTCAATAAAAACTTATTGGAAGTTATTTATGAATTTTATATTGTCAATGTTGTACTTTGCAATTAAATAAACATTTATATAAATAATACTGCTTATGCTTTAATAGGCCTTTTAAATGCAACGGTTATTACTTAAAATTGTGGTTTGTTTACATCCGCGAAACCTCTTCGTTATTAAAAAAACGAAAATTAAATGAAAAATCTTTTTTATAATTTAGATAATTTATCAGTAAAAGTAAATAAATGTGTTCATTTTATACGATATTTTTGTATATTTTTATTATGTAATTGCATAATATTAATATAATATTGTAATTCGAAATGAATGCATTTTTCACCGATTTTAACTCGATCAAATATTTCATTAACAATCAAAATGCCACTCAAAGTATGTAAGATCGAAGAACGATATTTATAAAAAAAAAAAAAAAAAAAAAAATTAAAAAAAAATAAAAATATATGTAAATTCTATTAGACATTGTGAATTCATACCACTTTATTCATTCTTGACATTAAATTATGTTTTCGTAATCGATTAGTAGTCACCATACAGTGTAATATATATATACATATGCACATACGCACACATATATGTATATATATATATATATATATATATAGTACAGTTTTCAAACTACCGCAATACTTGCTTATTCTGCATGTTAGTAAATACGAATAATAACGAGACCAAGATGCCTTGCTCATTGTAGCCTTTGTATTTTTATCCCACTACTAATGTAGGAGGACAAATTTGAATATTTAATTAGTTTTTCAATGAATAAGATTTTCATATATGTTTGATATTTATTTTGGTATTTATATAGATATATAGATATAATGCATAAATTAGATAAATTTTTGTTTTAATTATGTTAAAATTTATTTAATTTTAAGATATTTTATCTATTAAAAATTTATACGGTATTAACTCCATTTGAATTTCGTATACTTATATTAAATGTTCATGACTTATTGCTAAATTTTAAGTTTAAATAAATTTCTTTTCAAATAAATAAATTCTTAGAAAATTCTTCCGCGCGAAATAATCTGCGTATAGATAATGAAAAATTAATGTAACTGAAAATATTTTTTACAACGTTTTTTATATTTAAATTATAATACTATGCATTATTTTTCTCATTAATCAATCTATGCGGATAAGATTCATTATTTTTCGTTTAAGTTTGTATTGTTTAAAATTTATATAACGTAGTTTTATATTATTTTAATATAAAATGAGTTTGTAGATTGAATTCTTTAAAATTTTATTCATCTACATTCTTCCATTGCACACATTTATATAAATGTAGGTATGCCCAATGTTATTTCAAGTCGTTTGCTTATATACTTTCGATAAAAATTTCAATTTACAGCTATTTGTAAGTCATCGGCTATTATTATATCATTAAATACCTTTGTAGTATGCAATCTATTAGTGGGCTGTGATTAGATAAAATTATACAGACGCATTTCTAATAGTTAATATAATTATATGTAATTCTACACTTTGATGTTTTCTGTTTTAATTGATTTATCGTTTCAACTAATTGACGAGTCCATCAGATACGCTAAACGTATTTATACAAAGATTTTTTTTATTGAACAACTACGAAGCTAGAAAGTGAAAACCAGTGGAAACAGTGAAATGAAAATACTCTTCTCTAAATGTTAAACGTAAAATCTTACTAAGATATATATGAAAAATATTTTTGTTATATATATTCATGTTTACCATATATATGTATATATATATAAGTACGTATTTTCATGATTTGAGGAACCTCGCGAAAGATTTCGCCATATTGATTGTACAAAAAAGAACTACTCAAAAAGTCAAGGTTGGATAATCTCTGCCAGCTGTGCAAATGCAATTACCAGTATGATAAACGCGTGTAGCTTGGTATATTATACCAACATTCTCATGTCTCTTCTCCCCTCTCTTTATGCTAGTCGTATATTCACGTATTAAGCTTAGATTATTTGATAATTATGTATTAATAGTTCTTTTGACTGTTTATATATTTATATTGAATCGATTAATATTGAAAGCAGCTCTGCATTTGATATTATATATATATATATATATATATATATATATATATGATATATTATGATTTATTTTTTTTTTTTTTTTTTTTTTTTTTGCCGCCTCATTACATTTTGAAAGAATTATTTGCTATTAAAAACAACATAAAAAAAAACGTAAAATGACTATTATGAGGACTTAAAGAGAACACACGAATGTCCAACTTATTTTACAGGATATTGTTGTATTATAATTATTATAATATTATTTTACAGGATTCAGAAAAGAAAAATACGTAAAATTTGAAATGAAACGAGGAAAATTTTTTAACATTAGCTAATCATGCTTTGAGTACAAATCTATTTTCCATTGTTTATATT